TTATTAATTCAGACAGAAACTGATATTTATCAGGGCTGACTATGTTCCAGGCCTAGGACTGTGGTGCAAGCTTTGGTGGGGCATAGGGGGCTGCCCTGGTCATTTTGCCTTATGCTTACAGTTTCTCCCCATCTGGTCTAACTTATTAGAGATAGAGTCACTGGGTCACCCAGTTACCACCAAGACCATCAGCAGAACACATTTCTTAGTCTGCCACCGTGCTCTGACCTGTTCATCTGCATCTTCTCCCACAACTCCCCCAAGGTCTGGATGCTAGAGACAGATCATACCTGAAGATGCCACTTCCTGCGAGCGTTCCCTGTCTGCCTCATATATCGCCTAGTAGCACAGCTCTCACCGTGTTCATCAGAGCGGGAATCTTCTCAGGAATGATGACACAATCATTCCTGGGTGTGAAATAACCATTTCACTGTATGTCACTTGCTGTGCAGAGCCCTGGATATATGTCATCTCACGTAGTGCCCACGCCAACCCTTTCCAGGGGATTTTATTCAAACACTTCCTATTTAGCTCAGGGAAATGAGGTTCAGGAAGGTTTAGAAGCTTGCCCAAGGTCACACAGATGCAAAGGGGGAGATTTGAACACACATCTGTACAACTTCCAAAGCCCATTCTGTTAACCACTATCTTACCCCAAATAAGCCCCATGCTAGCCCACAGAAGCCTGTATCTAAGATGGCAAAATCTCAAGCAGCAGCTCTGATGGATTAGTGTTCCTGTCTGCCTGAAGCCAGGGTAGGAGAGAATGCAGTGACAAATGATCGGTTTGCTATGGGTGTGGGAGGGGGAGAATGACAACTCATGCCATGTATGTGACATCGAGATCCATTTCTTCCATATTGCAGCTGAAACTATATGTGTATTAGCTTTCAATTGCTGCTGCAATAACTACAGATTTAGTGGCTTAGAACACACAAGTGTATTATCTTATAGTTTTTGAAGTCAGAATTCCAAAATGAGTTTTATGGGGCTAAAATCAAGCTGTTGGCAGGACTGGCTCGTGGAGGCTCTAGAGGAGGATCCATTCCTTCCGTTTTCCAGCACTTGAGGCTGCCTGCATTCTTTGGCTCATAGCCCCTCTTCCGCCGTCTTTAAAACCAATAACAGTATCTTTAAATCAATGTCTCTCTGTCTCTGCCTTCTGCTTCCCTTGTCACATCTCCTTCTCCTGACTCTGATCTTCTTATCTCCCTTTGTGATTTCCTTGAGCCCACCTGGATAATCGAGAATAATCTCTTTCTCAGGACCCTCAAACTTAATCACATCTGCATAGTTCTTTTTGCTATGTAAAGTAACATTCACAGCTTCTGGGGATTATAATGTGGACATGTTTGGGAGTACTGTTATTCTGCCTATCATAGAGTGTAAAGAAAACAGTAGTGTGTGGGCTAGCCTGGGCACACTGTTTCTCAGGTGTTTTTTGAGGGCTCTGAAGCAGTGGAAACATCATTTGGGTGTGAGCCAAGGATAACCTGGTGGACTGTCTGTCTGATGCATGTGCCGAGAAGCCATGCATTCTGTGACTTCCAAGAATGAAAGGTCTTTACGATGCATGCAAGAGCTGGTACCCGTGATGGTATCTCTTGCTTTCGACCTCCATGACCAGGTTTAGATGGTCACAGGGTCTTTTGATCTCTGATTTTCTGTGGAATAGAATTACCGCTTTGCATCTATATGGGCAGATGTACCATGCCAGTCAAATTGTGGGGATGGATTACTGTGCTGCTTTCGAGTATACAGGCAGACTGATGTATCAGGAACACAATGTGATAGGGGATAGACTAAGGCAGGAAGCCCACAGGGGTGGGGACTTGGGTTACATGAAGGCCATTCTGGAAATGTGGAAGTGCTCAAGAACATGTGCTGAGCTGTAGTACAGTGCCTGGAGTGATTGGAAGAAGGTAGGCAGGAATGTCAGGAATGGTCTAGGAAGACAGGGAGCCAGTGGTGGACTTGGAGCAGAGAAATAAGGGCAGATTTGCATATTAGGAGATCAGCTTAATGCCAAAGCCCCTTGAGATCAGGACCTGGGTCTGGTTCAGGGTCAAGTGCCTAACCCTTTTGGGCTTTGGTCAAGGTGGAATGCTCAATGGATAGTGAATGGATGCTGCATGCAAGTCTTCCTGTCCTTTGAGGCCAGCTCACTGGCTCCCTCCTTGGAACAGCTCCACATCACAGAGACCTTATTTGGAGGAATTTGGGTTCTTGTATGCATGATATAGCCAGTCTCACTGTCTTGGGCTCCTTTCCATGATGCATTGTTCATTGCAAATGCCTAGTGTCTGTTAAAAACACGTTACAATAGAAGTACAGGGAGGAGAAGAACAAAATGAAGAGCTGATAAAATCCTACAAGTAAGACAATTAGTTACCAGAGTCCTATGTATCTTGGCGCATACTGTTAAATGGAACGCATTTCCGTTTTGAAAAGTGCTTCCTCTTTGTGGCTTAAGGTATCCTCCTTACACCCCTTCCCAGGTGAAAGTCATGCAGATTATATTAAAAAACAACAACAACAACAACAACAAAACAGTTGAGATTCTGACCCAGTGAAGAGGTTTGTCCTTGGTAGCCAGTTGGAGAATGGAAGGATTAAGGTACTTACCTTGGCTTCTAGGTTGCATTTTTGTTTTTCTCCCATGATGCTCCCTTTTTCCCTCCACTCTAGCCCAGTTATCAATCTCTCTTTTAAGCTTCTAGTACAGGTCGTCCTAATTGTTAGTTCATTCTTACTGAGGTGCTGCCTGTGGCATTTCATATACTGTATGCTTATTTATGTCTGGTTCTTTTACCCTAGCTACATATACCTTGTATGCCATCTGCACTGAGAATTCTTGGAGGTCTGGGTGTGGTTTGATATTTGTCTGTATACCTTGCATGTGATCTACGTACCTAGTTATTCTTTGAAAGAATGACCCACTTCGCTCCTGAGGGCAGGACAGTGGCAGCTTTATTTATCACCATACCTAGCATAATGTCTGGCTCATAATAGATGGTGAGTGAATTTATGTCCTGGGGATTTGTAAGGGAGCAGAAAGATGACTTGGGCATTACTAAAGGGTTGTGGGGGATTGCATTGTCTCCTTCTTGGTCACCTGCCTGGCTGTGTTACTTTGGTCTTGGCCATCTGGAAATTGACATCCTCTAGCTGCACAGACTGTGGCTTTGTCCCTAAAGAGTTATGGCACAGGAGGTTTTATGCAAACACTTCATATATAGCTCAGGGAAACAAGGTTCAGGAAGGTTTAGAAGCTTGCCCAAGGTCACACAGCTGCAAAGGGGGAGATTTGAACACACATCTGTACAACTTCCAAAGTTCATTCTGTTAATCACTATCCTACCCCAGACAAGCCCCATGCTAGCCCACATGTCCTAGCTGGCTTGCACTCAGTAATTGGTATTTATTGATATTAGAAGTCATTTCAACTGGAGTTAAAATACAAGTACCTTTCTGGCTCTTTCTTTCAAGGCTGTGTGACTTTTTCTGTCTGAATTGTTTTCTAATGGCAGAGTGGGGTGCTTTTTCTGATTAGGCATACAGAACCCCCTCTAAGCATCTGCTTTTGTGCCCAAGAAGGTAATAAAGTAACAACACTTTCCGAAGTTTCAGTTCAGGTGAGAAATCCTGGAACCTTGTGTATGTGGGGAAGGCAGGAGGAAAGCTAGAGAAGGAAGTGAACCAGGAAGAAGCTCCAGTGGATCGTGGACTGGTGTGCCATGTTGATTTAGATTTTCTGTTACTGCTTATCCATCACTTGAATTAGAATGGGGTGTGTGTGTGTGTGTGTGTGTGTGTGTGTGTTTGTGTTTGTGTGTGTGTGTGTGTGTGTCCATCTGTCTGTCCATCCTTTTCCGCGCAGCTGTGCTTTCCCAAGGTCCACATTTATCTGAGCTCAGGGATATAGTTTCAGCGGGCGTGCTTGGCTTCAGGGTAAGCAGTGTGAACATGCCTGTAGCATATGGCTGTGCTGGGGTTGTGGTCTGAGACCCTGGGCTCCATCAGAAGTGTTCTGCACGTTATGTCTCAGTGTAACAATGGCCCATTAAATACCGGGCTGCCAACATATGGTTTTCCCCAACATCCCTCTTGTCGAGTGGAAACTTTAGCTGTGTGGTTAGAATATTTTCCCATCGCTTAGCATTTCAGAATTAACATTTTAGAGAATTCTGCAATTAATGCAGAGTGGCACATTTGCAGATTATTACAGAAACAGTTAAACGAGTGTCAGTAGATGTATAGCTGCTCTTTCCCATGATGGATAAGTAGGGCTAGGAAAAGGCCAGGCCAACTGGAAGATTCCGGGGCTCCCTCTGCGGATGCTGTAATTAAAGCGGGAAGTCTGGCGGAGTTGTTATCCCTGCTGTTAAGAGCGCAGATGGCTAACAGCCACATCACCAAGAGTTAGAGTTAGACTTTTTAAAGTCCTTTTTTCTTTTTCTTTTATGACCCACCCTATATGTTCCAAGCATAGGTACAGATTCAGTGAAGAATTTTCTCATTAAAAGTAACAGCTTATTCCCACACTCATTCCCAGTCTTGGAATGAGAAACCTGTTTCCTTAGACTTGAGGAATTGTCTATCTGTCATGGCTTAATAGAGCTTTTGGACCAGAGTGTCTGGTGGGCGAATTTTATAACCAATCAGTGCTCCAAGCATATCCAACTGGTAGGGCTCCAGCTGGCAGCTCATATCTCTCTCCCAATTTTACTGTTAATGAATTATTATTTAGGCCCCAAACATAGAACAGCCTGCTCCTGTTGTCTTAGGAGAAATGAGTGCTCACGATCCCTGTGGCCTGGCAGTAAGGAATCTCCTGGGTTGTAGAGAGTTTGGCAGTCGAGGGACACGAAGTGGAAAAAAAATGGGACTGGCATGACCCTGGGTCTCTGCAATCATATGTACATTTTGACTCCATGGGGATCTGTGCTGGAAAAGCAAATTGGCCTCATTCCTCATCTCGTTCTCTTGTTTTCCCACAGGGAATGGGGCCGGCCAGCAGGAACAGCGGGCTGCACAACATCACCTTCCGATATGACAGTAAGTAACTGGCTTGACCTGCGATGAATGGAGCCCTTTCCGTGATCTAAAGCCTACACAGTCGTGCTTGATCAAGGGCACTGCAGATCCTGGGGTTGAGGAATTTTTTGAACCTGCTCAGGTCTGTCAACAGAGCTAAAGCAGCTCAGGCTCAGTTAAGCCGCTCAAGAATTTGGGGCAGGTCAAGCGTCCTCTGTCGTGTTCCAAGAGGTTGTGTATGGAGACCTCCCCTGATCTCCTCGGGACACGGCCATGTCCTTAAGAACAAGCGCAGATGCCTGTAGGGCCCTGCAGGGGACATGCTAGTGAAGCTGCCCAAGTGCAGGGTGCTAGGGAGTGGTAGGGGCTGTGGCAAATTGGGTAGCCCATGTCAGGTCAGAGGGAGCACCGGGGGTCAGAGGGAGCACCAGCTCCTCCATTCCAGCCTGTTGTGGCCTTGAGGAATGTCTCCTGAGCATAGCTAGGTGTGATTTCCAGGAAGAGTGGGAAATTGGCAATTTTTGTATGAACATTTTTAATATGGGCATTTTTTAAAAAACTTTAGCAAACACAGAGTGGGGCAAGTGAATCTGTGTCCTAGGTTGGCCCAGGGGCCTCTGGTTGGCTGTCTCTGACATAGGCCTGTGCTCCAACCCTGGCTCCATACCTGTCAGTTGTGAACTATGGCAGGTGACTTGACTTCTCCAAGCCTCAATTTTCTCCTCGTTTTAGCAAAGATTAGTTTCTTGCTTGGCATCATTTTGAGGCTTAAACAAGGTAATGCATATGACCAGCTTACCTTGGTAACTGGCCTGCACTCAGTAATTGGTATCTATCAATATTAGAAGTCGTTTCGACTGGAGTTAAAATATAAGCACCTTTTTAGTCCTTTCTCCTAAGGCTGTGTGACTTTTCTTGTCTGAATTATTTTCTAATGTCAGGGTTGGGGTGCTTTTTCTGATTCTGCATATAGAACCCCCCTCTAAGCATCTGCTTTCGTGCCCAAGAAGGTAATTATATAGAATTGTGAGCATTGTAGCCATATAAGCCATAATTTGCAAGTAAAATTGTCGATAAGAAGCTTGACTCATATTTAGTGACTCCTAATATTTGATTCATCTCTTGGGGAGGGTTACAAGTTCATGGAAGTAAAGGGTATAGGTCACATGAGGCCTCTGGAATGATCATTGCTAAAGCAGAGTTTTCAAGGTTGTGTATACAACCTAACAATTTTAGGATACAAATATGTATGTAAAATTCATAACCACAGTTGCTGACCTGGGTACTTTAAGTTAATCAGTGAGAACTTAATATGAAACTCAGACATTTCGTGTTAGTGGTATGTGCATATTTTGGGTAAATGCTGATGCTAATGAAGGATTTGCAAGTCCATGATAGTTAATTCAGCTAAGTATAGACATGTGTAAGGGATCTTTGAGTTAGAAAGCTAATTCCTAATATATGTTCTTGGTCTTGGCAGATCTTGTATTACATTCAAGAGTTCAAAATTTTCCGGTCCGCTGAAAACAAATATTTGCATGTCAAATTTAATAATGGGGTTTTGTGAAAAAGGATCTATACCTGTAAAACTTAAAAGCGTCATATTTTTTACGTGGGACTAGATATTTGGCCCACGTGCTAACGCCTGTCTCTTAGTCATTATTTTCTAATTTTTCAGCATTTAATTAGAATTTAATTCACCACTCGAATTGACTCCTAAGATATCTGAAGTTTGGTTGCATTTTGGCAAAATGTCATTTGGCCGTAATTTTTCTGTAACTAAAATTCAAAACATTGGAGTTGCTGATAATTGGGTCCAGGCTATGTAAAATACTTATTTGTTGTTTTTCATTGAGAAAGATATTTCTCTCTTCCACAAGAAAGTTCCTGTTACAGCTCTGTTGACTGGTTACTAGCTCTGTTTGAAATAGCTAAGAACCAATTGCCAGGATTTTGCCAAAAGTATTAAACGGTAAAATCTTATTTTTCAATTCCTTTGCCATTTGCTGTTAACAAAGAAATTATCTTGCCGTTTGGTCAAAACCAAATTTCACAGGTCTCCTTGCCTCCTTTCATGTTGCGTTTCTCATTTCTTCTTCAGGTTCTGAGGGGATAATGCCTGAGTAACTTATAATACATTTTCTTAATTCTTAGACTTTTTATTTGCTTAATTGTATGTACAGAAACCCGGAGCGTGCTAATTTTGGCATTAGAAATGAACAAAGAAAAGAAAACACCATGATTCGCTCTTGTTCATGCATCTTTTCCTAAAGCTGTTTAAATCAGAGGTTTCTCTTTCATTAGAGACCTCAATAAATGAAAATGTTTGAACTTCACAAGTATGATGGGAATCTTGTCTTTTTTTTTTTTTTTTTTTATGCTGGGAAGTTGGTCTCAGCCAGGATTTTTACAGGCTGAAAACCTCTGATTCAGAGCTCCTTTTAGCCATAAGCTCCGTGCTGAGGATGGAATGGCAAGAGGCCTGCATGAGCATCTGAGGCTGCCCCTGGGCTGGTCAGCAGTGGAATCCTGAGCTACCCAGCTGACCTCTCAAGCTGCGCTCTCCTCATTTGTACAGTGTGGAACAGTTAAACCAGATGTTGAAAAAGTTTTTTCACATTCTAAAATTCTCTTCTGCACCTAAAGAACACATGCTACATGCTTTGAGAGTGAATTTTCTTCAAAACTAGAATTCAGTTTTATTCATTATTAACATCTTTTCTCAAGAAGTAATATTGAAATATATAGAGGTGGCTATTTTTTGAAGCAGATGGGAGTTTACAGAAGGGAGAATTACAAAAACGAAAGCAGGGGAGAGGTGCATTTTAGTACATGTGTGTTGTGCTTTATTAAGAAATTTGAAAAGGAGGAATATCACGTGCACATTAAAAGGCTTTGAAGGCTATCCATTAGATGTTAGCAGTCATTTCTGTGTGGTAGGAGGTTATGAATGATTTTTACATTTTTCTTATATTCTTTTGTCATTTTCAAATATGCAATGAATGTTTTTAGTCATAAAAATGGCAAATGTGTGGTATAGTTTCAGGGGAAAATTCAGCAGACTCACTGAGCTTCTTAGAAACACTTCTGAATGCTTCTCAAAAACATCCAGCCTTCAGAGGGGTCATCGGTAGGTGGATGGAATTGAAGACCTTATGTAGTAGAGACTAAAGAGGGTTTTCAAATTTAATCATTGAGAAGGAAATGGAGATGAAGCAGCATAAGAATTATGAGTTGATGTTTGCTGGGGATGGCTGGTGGTTCTCCATGCACAAGTGGCCAAGAGGGGCCTGCGGGCATTCTCAGAAATCCCAGCCCGAGTCTGGCTGGAAGCTTCTGGTAGCCTTTTAGGATCTTGCAGACTTTGAAGGTTTAATTAGCAGTGCCAGGTGGCACAGCTGCTCAAGTGGTTTGGCTGCATCGACAGGTGGCAGTGAACGGTGTTGTCAGACCAAATCAAAGAGTCAGAGGTTTTTTGTTTTTTGAACAGGGTAGAACTCTGGTTTTGGTGAGTGTTGTGGGTGTCTTTGATGATTCATGATGTTTGGGAACAAAAGTTTTACCTTTGACGATGCTAGTTAACATGGAAGGTGCTTTGCTTATCACTAAGTCAAGTCAGTATTTTTTGCAGCTCCTAACTGGATTGTTTTAACAGTCTTGATGTGAATCACTGTCTCATGAGTTCCTCATTTTAGTTCCTTTTGCCCAGTCACTTTGTCCTCTAGGTTTCTTCTAAAAATAAATAAACCCCAGATTATTTAGCCATTGTTTTGTTTCAAATCATTCTTTAATGCTCATGTAAATAATGATTGATTTGGGCAAAATGTCATTTTAGTAAAAAAGTTCATGCCAGATACACAAACCCCAGGCCGAATATGATTCTCCTAAAACTGACCTGGAATATAACTCCGGGAGTGGGCGGCAGTGACAACGCTATAAATAAATCCCGTTTCAGCATCTTATGATTTTTCAGTCAACCTTTGATGTCGTGTTTGGGCTCTTGAGGCACATGTCTTTAAACAGAATGGATTTAGCCACCTGCAGATGTGTTCTGCGTAATTTGAGATGAACTTGGAAATAAAAAATTTTTAAATGTGACTGTTTTTGTTCTCTCAACTTTCTAGACTGTACCACATACTTGAATCCGGTGGGGAAGCACGTAATTGCTGATGCCCAGAACATCACCATCAGTCAGTATGCTTGCCACGACCAAGTGGCAGTCACCATTTTTTGGTCCCCAGGGGCCCTTGGTAAGTGGTCAAAATGGAGTCCACTGTGGTGGGCTGGGTGGGTAGTGCCGAGTGCAAGGGTCCAGACATGACAGCCTCCAGGGGCCAGATAGGTCTTCACATGAGAGTGACTTAGGTTGGCTTGTGCACAGACATACTTCCTACTTTGTTGCACACAAGGGCTGGGCATGCACAGGGCTTGGTGCTGTGCCCTGTGGTTCATCTCTTGTTCTCTTGGCTGTTACTGAGAGAGATGTGAGTTTGAAAAATACTAGTAGATGAGTGGTAAATGGCACTGAGGCCTTGGCCTCTGTATCTCAGCCATAGTGGGAAGATGGGTGGGCCATCCAAGGACATGATGGCTTTGGCATCAAGCATTAGTGGTCTCTGGCCACACAGAGATGTGCAGGTCCAGCATTGGCACATTTTGTGAGTTTTCAGGAAAATCCCAGTTTTCATGAGAAACCATGAAATCAATTTTTTAGTGTTGGCGACAAATTGAACTTTTATGTAAACTGTGTGGGCTGAAAAAACCAAACTAAAACAAAGAAACAGAAAAAAGCAAACCCATAGTATTTGGGCCAGATTCAGATTAGGGCCAAGTCCGCTTGTCCTCTTTTATGAATTGATGATGATAGACAGGAGAGGATGAAATAGTTGAGTATGGGACATGGGGAGGGCCCATTTGTTCTGATGAGTCTGGATTTGAACCCAAAATTACAAGAGGCATTCAAACCTTTCTGAGCCCCAGCTTCTCCATCTGTATCGTGCAGATGACTGCCTCTTGGTTTGTTATAAAAATTCACACACACGCATACACATGGTACATTTCTAGAGAGAGCTATTAAGAAAACAGTGGCTATTGTTATCGTCAGAACTTGGTCCTTTGACACTGCTACTCAATCTTAGAATTTAAAAAAAAAATCTGGCTAAGGGAAAAGTAAAGTCTGGATTTCTTAATCTGAATGGGATAAATCTCTGAAGAACCAGCTTGGAGGAGAGGTGAGTGCAGAGAGAGGGAGGATGGATCAGACCCATGGGCCTGACTCATTTATCCATGTAAATACTGCTGGGTCTGAACCCAGTAGGTTTTCCAAAAATAACATTATCTTAACATTTAAAGATAAAAAACATTCTCTGTGGATAAAAGGGATATGATCATTCCACATAAGACTAAATGACTAAGGGGTTGGCCTGACGAATTGCAGGCTCCTCTTCAGAATGAAAGGAAGGTATGTGAGCTGGTGGTAGGAAACCAACTTGTGAAACAGTGAGGTGGAAGGTTGAGCTTTTCCTGCAGGATGATTTGTGGGTAGGATGGCTATCAGTTTCTGTGAGGTTCTATCAAGGAAACTCCATGGGAGACAGAAAAGCACATAGGTCAAGAGTATTCTAGGTTCAAATTCTACCTGTCATTTAATTCCTGTGTGACCCTCGGCAAGTCATCTACTGTCTCTATACCTCCATTTCCTCATCTGTAAAATGGGGACAATAGCTTCTTTCTATGGTTGTTTGGAGGATATAATGAGTTAAGTGATGGGAAGGAGTTAATGAGTTCCTTTATAAGAAGTTGCCCTATAAAATTGCTAACATTATATAACTGCAAGGTGTTAATAGTATTGTGATAAAGATGTTACTGTGATTTAACGTTTATATTTGCTGCCTCTACCCTCACTTCCAGACTTGGTGTAGTGATTTTTTAGGCAGGTCTTTTAAAAATAAGGTCTAGACCCTTCTACTGTCACCCCAGCTGATGAATTTTTATTATATTGTGAGATAGGCAGTCTTTAATCATATTAATCACCTGGCTTTTGTTGCAACAGTTCTGGGGACATTGCATGAATTAAATATTAGTATAAGTAGTAAGGATTTGTTCCAAAAAAAATTTTTTTTTTGGAGGGTGGTGTTTCAAAAAGCAAGTTCCTGTGAGATCTACTAGTTGCAGGTCAAAGACCTGTCTGGTTGTTGGTGAGCTGGCTCTCACCCTGCAGGAAGCTTTGTACTTGAAACACAACATGGCAGAGTCAGTACCTGCATACTCTATGTACTCTGACCCCTAAAACATGAAGCTCTACTTGTTGTTCCTTTGCCCTGCCCACCGTAAAATATGTGCTCTTCATCAAATAGTTACAGGATCGGAGAACCTGTTTGAAAGAGAAAAAGATTTCCCTGGCCTTTGCCATCCATAATTTTCCCACCTGGTTAATTGCATCCTGTGTAATTACTTTGGCCCTGAGAGGGGAAGAGTTGAAAATGTCTCCTTGTCTAGTGTTCAAAAAGAATGCGAAATCGATATCGTGCCAATTGAGGCCGGCTTGGGGGATCCAGCTGCAGCTGGACCACTCTAGTCTCCATGGGATACAGAGCCCCGGTACTGGCTCTTGTGGCCATCAGAGCTTAATCCTTTTGAAAGCATCTAGTCGGACGTGCAGCAGGGGAAGCTCAGGTGGCGGGAGGCTGGGCCAGCGCCTTTCAGTGGCGCTGTGGGCGTCTCGGGGCTTCAGTGCTGTGTGAAGAGCACACACTGGGCAGCTCTTGGGTGTCTGCCTTTCAGGCATGATTAGAGCAAGAACCGCTTTGTAAATCGCATAGGCATTCTCCTAAGCTATTTAATCTCAAGCCTAGGAACCCCTTGGGCGCAGACACACATTTTGTTGGGAATTTTGTACATTGTTCATTGAAACATGCCAGCAAATACAAGACTAAAACTTAAAGTGGAAACATGGTTTGGTGGGAGTCCCTAGTCAGTGTGTGGAATTATCATCAGCTGAATACACCCTGTTTAATGACCTAGAAATTATGTATTCCACTGCAGACTTTTATGAATAATTATGACTCGAGTCTAAATATTTGAACCCTAATGTCACAGAGGCAATGGGCATTTGTGAAGTGGCTGGCTAGATTAGAGATTAATTAATTAGTAATGGTGTGACAGAGAAAATCACCTGGCCTGTGCCAAAGGAATGCAGGGTATGTGTTTTTTCCTTTCTGTAAACTCAAATGTTCTAGCCAGAGTAAGAATTCCTTTAACTCTGTTGTGTAGGTGGAGAGGATGATAATGCTGGAGGAAGGAAAGTGTGTTTAAAAGTAATTAGGTCTCCTTTTAATAAAAGCATTCTGCTTTGCTTAGGCATCGAATTCCTAAAAGGATTTCGGGTAATACTGGAGGAGCTGAAGTCAGAGGGAAGACAGTGCCAACAACTGATTCTGAAGGACCCAAAGCAGCTCAACAGTAGCTTCAAAAGGACTGTAAGTCACACGCGGGGAATGTGCTCCTGAAGTACGCCATTGTCCCGGGGTCTGAATGGTCCATTGAAAGTCTGTGAAACTGGAGAAGGAGGGGCTGTGGGGTCCACCCCGCCTGCCAAGGTGGGCGAGGATGACAGTGCAGCATCGTGAGCCTGCTCCATACTCCCCGAGAAACCCTCCAGCACCTCTCCCTGGTAAACACATCTCTCAGATTACACGCTGGAGCAGCCATCCCGGAAGGTGGCTTTGTGCTCTCAGGAGCTATGTGGGCTCCTCCCCACCACCTTCGAGGTTCAGTGTTAACAAGCTCTGGCTTCCTTGACAAAGAACAGACAGTATCGTCGATCTTCATTTTCAGTGAGGGGTCCAATATAAACTTGGTTTAGAAAATAGACCCGACATGTCCCCCACTCTGGAACTGTGTCTAGGTGACTGTCAGGGAGGAATGAAGCTCTCTTCAGTAGGTAGAGGGTGGGTGACTTCTGCATGAGGTCACGTGTGTTTTTGTTCCCTTTTAGGTAATGGAATCTCAACCTTTCCTGAATATGAAGTTTGAGACGGATTACTTTGTAAAGATTGTCCCTTTTCCTTCCCTTAAAAACGAAAGCAATTATCACCCTTTCTTCTTCAGAACACGAGGTGAATGTCTTTCCTCCCTGATTCCCATAGGGAGACTTCTGCTTTTAATTTTTCAAATGAGATGTGTTCAAGAGCCCACCAAATAGTGCTGTGAAGAAAAACATAGTGAGGAGAAAAGCATCCAGAAAAAAATATCCAGGAAAGCAACTTTTAGAATTGAGGTTTGGCCCAGGAAGTATGCATCTAACCACAGACACCCATTCCCAGTTTGTTCTAGAGCAGACGTGATGGTTGATTTTGGTGTAAAGAGTAGAGCATGAAACGATTCCATCTTTTACCTGTTACCAGGAGCGGGTAGCCTCTGTGAGTGACTGATGAGATTAAGAAAATTAGGCAGTATTTCCGAGATCACCATTTTCTAGAAATTTATTTTATTCTTTCTACTTATTTAACATGTGTGCCAGATGCTGTTCTAAATGATTTTCAAATGCTCAGTTTACCCCTATGACAACCCCACAAAGAGTTTATTCTTACCATCTTGATCATTAGATATAGAATCACACACAGAGAGGTCAAAGGGCTTTCTGGAAGCTGGGATTTGAACCCCAGAAGTCTGACTCTAGAGTCTAGACTCAAACCACCAACCATGCTGGTTTCCCTTGTCTGCCTGGCTGTCCTTTAACATCTGTTCTGCATACAGTATCTTTCATCTGCCTGAATCGCTGCTTTCAAATTCGGTGCCCAGGCACCTTGAAACCTGCAGCAATCACCTCTTGCCTTCCTGATCAGTCTTTCCGTCTGGCATTTCCGGCCTTGGATGGTCAGCGGTCAGTCCATTCTGACATCCCCTCCTCCGTGGTCCGGTTGTGGTCCTCAACCTCTGTGATGTTTTTATTCTCACCTTCGGCCTGCATCAGTGTTCTACATCCCTTTGCAGAATTCTTACTCTGGCTGTTTTCTTCTCATCTTTTTCTTTAACCGTGGTTGTTTTCTATGCAGCAGTTATTTTATAACAATTGGTCTCATTTTCTTAATTAAAATAAGATTGCATAGCGCAAAGACCATGTGCATTTTACAACACCTTTCGATACCTTACATATAACAACTGGATAGAGGATTCAAAGAATGTGTTCGTGAAAATCTTGCCTAAAAGGTCAAACCTAGCATAATTTCAGATTAATTTTTCCCTTCAGAATCAGTGTGTCTGTCAGGGTATGAAACGGAGGCAGGAGATGTGTTTATCATTGTGACCTTGATGCTACCTTTGGTTTTCTTAGCATCGTACAGACATTTTCAGAGGGTTCTCCCTGGTTAGCAACATGGCACATTAGACTAGCTGGCCTCTTGTGTTTTTATCACATTTAAATCCCATTTCAAAGCTACTGGCTTTGCTGCTTGGTTTTCAGCGCTGGTGCTGCTCCCTAGTAGATGCCTGGATATCACTTTTAGACTTTGTCAAAAGGATTTTAGGTTAGAATGCTAGTAAGTTCACAATAACCCCAAGACACTTAACAGGCTCAGTCCAGAGTTTTCCTGTGCCTAAACAACTCCGCAGTGAGACAGGGGCCAGCATCATTTCTGCTTACAGCTAAAGCAGAGCCTCCATGTGGCAGGTAGCATGAACACAGTCCCGCTGCCCTTGGCTGCTGGCATTAAAGCTATGTAATGCTTGACTGGCTTTTAAAATCTGAGGGACTTTATACTGTTTCCATTTATTTGGCATAAAATGAACTACATTAATATTTTTATATTGTGCAATTTCATTGCACTGTACTAAAAATCATTGTCGAATTGATGTATTTTATACTCTTCCCAGCTGCACCCAGTGCCATATATTTATATTTTATGATTTGTTGGACAAGGAAAATGTCAAACTGTCCTATAACTAAAAACATGCAACTCTCTTAATAGCCTGTGACCTGTTGTTACAGCCGGACAACCTGGCCTGTAAGCCCTGTAAGTATAGCTGTTCTTTTCTCATGGTGTTGCTACCCTGATGGTGTCAGGTAGCCTCTGGGTGCTCACTTCGGGTCCTTTCTCCTCACAGACTGGAAGCCTCGAAACCTGAATATCACGCAGCATGGTTTGGACATGCAGGTGTCCTTCGACCACGCACCACACACCTTTGGCTTCCGTTTCTTCTATCTTCATTACAAGCTCAAGCATGAAGGACCCTTCAAGCGAAAGACCTGTAAACAGGTGAGCTGCTAGGTGTACATAAAGGAACACTGTGTTTTAAGGTGACTCTGAGCCCCTGGAATTTGGATGGTTCAGTGTGAGCATTAGGCGTTGTCCACTCTCGGCAATAGGTAGATAGATCTTCCGGAATGTTACCGCTGGGTATGTCTCAGGCCATCCTGCTGTCACCCCTTCCTCCCCACTTATCTGTCTCTCAGCTATCCTGCTTGGCTATGTAGCCTGGTAAAAATATTACCAAGGAATCAAAGTAAGTATTTCTAGTTTGTTCTTCTATATTTCAAACGTTAATTAGGTGCTCACTGAATACCAGTCACCAAGCTTTATGCTCATTGAATCCTTATAACCATATGAAACAGGCTGCTGCCATTCCTACTTTCTAGATGGGGAACCTGGGGCTCAGGGAGTCACCTGGTTTGCTGAAGGTTACATAGCCAGCACATGGGAAAACCACATCTAGGAGCCACTCCACTGGCATTTCAGCGGCTCCTGATTTTACACATAGGCTAAGGTTAAGTAGAAACTCAGTAACCAAGTCCTTAAACTGGAGGCCGTCAGAGGGAATGGGAAACATTTTGTAGAAGTTCACAGGACTACTAGATCACACCCAGCGGTACCAAGAGAAGATTTTAGTGGTGGTGGAAGACCCCAGTGCCTACCTGGACATGCTCCTGTGTGTGTTAAGTTTTGCTTTCCCGCTGACTCTCACTTTTATCATTGACCTTTGACATTCTACTCAAGTTAAAATTATGGCAAATAAAGTATGTATAAACACAACAGGTAGTTTTCTCTACCCTTTTATTAAGTGAAGGGTATTCTAACTACATAATTTCTTTGTCTTCAAATCAGATATCCCTACTGAGGGCGCCACCAGCTAAGCGTGCAATATAGCAGGGGTCCTGGGCTCCCCTGGGCCTTTTATCAAAGTGAAATTCAGATAACGTGGCAGATAAATACAGTTGCTTTCTGATCTGATTGACATGTTCTGAAAACATGATTGAGACTGTTGGCAAGTCTCCTTCAGCTCTGTGGGGAGAGAGGGATCTGGAGGGCCTTTATCCAAGAAGAAGTTTTAAAGGTGGTGTTTGTTCCTTTGCAGGAGCAAAATACAGAGACAACCAGCTGCCTCCTTCAAAACGTGTCTCCAGGGGATTATATAATTGAGGTGTGTATAACTCAAGAAAACCTTATTATTAACTCCACAGAATGAATCCGGTTCATTTAGAATTCCAACTGTTTACAACACTAAAATGTCAGGCCATCAAGGGTGTATATAGTTTTATTTATACATGATCCTAACATGCTTTTAAAAAAATTTATATAAAATTGGTCTTTGATTTTTTTCATTAATATTTCAAATAAATATTTTTATGTAACCATAAAATCCACATAACCATAATTTAAAATTTCTATGTAGTATTTCTTCATACTTGATATAGATATTTTTTTAAATTTTAAGTTTTTAGTAATAAAACAGCAAAACAAAAGTTATACCCATTATATCTGCCTATACTTCTCTAGATTTTTGCTGACATTCATTTGTATAAATGTACATGAGTTCTAAGTACCACTTAAAAAGCATGTAAATGATATATTTTTTCTTTTATTTTTGTAGATTTATTTTCCAGTATCAAAAATACTACAAAATTAGAAGTAAAAGAAAACTAGAAATGGAAACTAAAAATATGTCCATAGCCTTCCTATTCAAAGACAACCAATATGTCTTAACAATTTGGTAGAGACACCTAGTTCTTGCATTACTATATATCAATATGTGGTTTTAAATAGACACACCTTAAAGCTTTAAGGGAAGCCCAGTTAAATCAGTAGTAAGATGCCATTTCAACTGAAAATTGTTAGAATGTGGAACTTACCAGCTGACTTAATCATTGAGTAAACAACTTTTTGATTCACGAAAGGAAACGTGATGAATTAAGAGTTTTAAGTTGGTGAAACAGAGATGTATCTATTAATGTCTAGTCTCGGCTTGTAAATGGTTGCATGCAGCAGCTCTCCTTTCCTGTTCTCTTTCCTCCTGCCCACACTGCCCTCAAATAGAAAAAGAACAAGATCTGCCGAGATGCTATCACTTAAAAAAAATAATACGGCATCCTCTGTTTTGCAGCTGGTGGATGACACTAATACAACAAGAAAAGTGATGCATTATGCCTTAAAGCCAGGTAAGAATTTTTTTGTTTGAGATGTTGGCTCTGGGCTACGGTAGACCAAGGTATCTGTACTTCATGGTTTATAAAAACAAAACACAACAAAACTTGAGCTCCTTTCTCTTAAAGGATGTTTCATCAAATCTGACTTTCCTTCCACCCTCATGTTGATGCCTGGAAGATCAAAGCCAGTGTGGTTGCATATCCCTGGAACTAAATAAATAGTCAATTGTCTTCGGAAGAAAAGTGATGGTGGGACGGGGAGGTTTCCTTAGGCGAAATTCTCACTCAGAGGTATTTACTGTCCCAGCAGACTGTTCTTCAAAATGAATCCTTTTATAATCACCAAAACAGCACTAGGGAAAGGTGGTCAAGGGGTCCTAGAACCTGTTATGTGGCTTATGTTGAAAAAAAATTTTTCTCTTTGAACCTCTTATGCTGCTTAAGATTAAAAGCCTTCCCTTTGAAATTTCCCAGTGCACTCTCCGTGGGCTGGGCCCATCAGAGCTGTCGCCATCACTGTGCCCCTGGTCGTCATATCGGCGTTCGCAACACTCCTCACTGTGATGTGCCGCAAGAAGCAACAAGGTATGTCTGTGTGGTATGTCCCCCCACCAACCCCCCAACGGGCAGGACTGGGGTCTCTGCCAACAGAGGGAGACTAGGAGTGCTTGGTCCCTCCCTGTGGGTGTCTGGGAGGCCACATGGCTCCTGTAGTCTCAGAATTAAAATACTTTTAACCTCAGGATCCACTAAAAGAACAGGCATAATTTTATTCTCAAATTTAGGATAGTAAATTCAAGAGCATCAAGGAAGTATAAGGGTGTGAGTAAGAGTGAATGTAGGGCTTCATCGCTTACAAAAGTCAGGTTCCAGGAGGGAACCTTCTTGAGAGCTAGAAATAAATGTTCTGTATCTTGACCTGCATGGCGGTTAATCAGGTGTATACCTAGGTAAAAATTTGAGATGCACTCTTAAGATTTATGCATTTTATTTTTGTAAGTTATACCTCAATAAAAAAAAAAGGTTTTTTTTTAAAGGTCTTTTCTGCCAATGCTAATTGGCAGTTGGTGGCAAGGACTGGTTCTGGGTGCCCTCTGCTGACTAGGGTGACTCCTACAGTGTGCTGGGCTTGCCCAAGGTCAGTTTTAGGTGAAGAACAAATTTTGGCCATTTGTTGCTCCACTGGAGAAATCAGCTGTCCCATTCCCAGTGGTGGGTGGAGTTGGAAAACTTGAGAGTGCTCTAGGTGGATATGTCACCTATTATTTCTTGAAGGTAACGTTAGGTCCCAAGTCTTAGGCAGCAGGACAAAGTTTTGCTCAGATATTAATCCTGTCTTCTTTTCCAATTTAGAAAATATATATTCACATTTAGATGAAGAGAGTTCCGAGTCCTCCACCTACACCACAGCACTCCCCAGAGACAGGCTCCGGCCACGGCCGAAGGTCTTCCTCTGCTATTCTAGTAAAGATGGCCAGAATCACATGAATGTCGTCCAGTGTTTTGCCTACTTCCTCCAGGACTTCTGTGGCTGTGAGGTGAGGAATCTAAAATCTCAACTCTTACCTCGGGTGGAACACATCCTTCACACTCTCTCCCATCCACCTTGTCCCAGCCTACAGGCCTCCTTCAGTGAGGCCTGCCCTCCAGCAGTGCCTGGCTTCCAAATTGGGGTCAGCCTCGCACTCTTTTTCAGTCTTTCCTACCTGTCACCAGCACTAACTGTTTCCTATACTTAGTTCTAATCCTGACACACACCTACTCAAAAGCCTTAAGTGGTTCCCACCTAGTAGGAAGTTGCATGGGGGAAAATGCAGATGCCCTGGGAGCACATAGTGGGGGGTGGGCGGAGGTGGTCACTCTGCATATCCCGGTGAGCATCGGAGAGGCAAAGAGAGAATGGTAAGTGAAAGAGAGAATGGTAAGTGCAGCAGAGGGTTTGACAGTTTTTGGGGGGAGCTTTGCTAAGAAGGGAAAATAATGTGTTAAGTGCTCAAATGGTCTGCTCTGGTTTTTTACCAGTTCTCTTGAGTTAAGCTATTAATGTGTAGCTTTTCTATAATGTTATAATGTTAATTTTAGAATGAAGTCTGAAGACATCATATAGGGCACATTATTTATTATAAATGCAGGAATTGTACAATAATTGTGTAGTTGGGTTGTTTGTGCTTTGAAACTACCTGCTGGTGGGTTTCTCAGATTCTCTTCACGTGGTGAGGCTGCCCCCTAGTGTCAATAACACATATTTACATGGCTGGCGTGGTTTCCCAGTGCATGAAAGTGGAGAGGTTGACCAATCAGCACATATCCTAAGAAACAACTGCAAAACTCAAGCCTGTGCCCCACGCTGTCTTCAGATATACACAACCCAGTTTGCTCTACTTTTTAGGCAGTCTCAGGGAAAAATGTCTTCCAATTATGTGTGTAATACTGTAGAAAATTGAGAAACTAGAAAAGGATGACAAAAAATGGTCTGTAATCTCAACCTAGAGAAAAGAGGAACCATGGTTAGTATTTAATGCATTTTCTTCCAGTCTTTAACTGCATAGATGAACTCACACATACAGTTTTGCATTGTAGGTGGATTGGAGTTACTTTTTCTGTCTCTTTAACAACTTTTTACAAATTAACAGTTTTATTTAAACTGCTATTTTAAATAGCCACATGATCTATAATGTTAGTTATTTAAAATTGTTAAATATCTCAGTAGTTCAAGTTTGCCTCATTTCTAATGATTTTCCAAAGATAGATGCCCGGAAATGGAATTGCTGGATCAAAGATAGGAACATTTTTGAAGTGCTTGGTATATAATACCAATTAGTTTTTAGAATGTATAAGGTTAGGAAGAATTAGGGCAAATGTAAGATGATTCAGGATTATTTTCAGCAAGTCAATGAATGTTGAGGACTTTCTTCCCTTCGGTAACACAAAGCAGAAGAGGAAGACAGTCATTTCAGACCCTCTTTCCTCTTAACAGACTGGCTGTTACATTTGGCCATGGCTATTGGGAATTAATTTCTGAACTATACAGAAAGAAAGAGACCAGTACAATTGCCAAGAGATGATTTCAGCAGAATCAGATGAAAGTGGTCTGAAAAGATGAAACCCTCCAAGGGGTCCAGTTTTCTCCCCTTGAGCTCTCCCCCTGCCCCCAGACTCCATACCTGACCTCCCTAGGGGTTAAAGGCCTTATAGGGATGTGACCCTATAGACCGCTTTGAAGTCATGGTGGAAGATGCCAGTCACTCCTAGTGAGTTGACAAGTATGGCCATGTTACTGTTCACCACCCTCCTCTTTAGCTGCTGACCAAATGGTAAACAGCATGGCTGAACTGGGGCTATGAGAGTGGCTGGGGAGGTCCTCTTTGTCAGTCGCTCTTTCTGCATGTGAGACAGCCAGCATCGTGGGAGACTCTGGCATCCAGACCTGAGCCCCATTTTCCAGCCCACTTTGGGGTTGGTCCCTCACCCACATCCTTCCATCATAGCCTTCCAGCTTTCTTTCCAGGACCTGCCCCCACCCAGGCAACCTTACTCAACAGGTAGACCAACCTCAGTGCCTCCGTTTTTCATGCTCTGCACCTTACTTTAAGTCCCTTGAGAGCCTCACGTATACTATGTGACTTAGGCAGGTTGCTAGAAGTGCCTTGCCTCTGTCTCTTTACTTATAGAGTGGGAGTGGTAATGATCCCCTGTTACGCTAAAATGAGGGCATGATGCAGAGGCCCTGGTGTGTGGCCCTCCTTTCACCCATGGGATGTTAGCTGTTCCTTAGAGCCAGGTAACCTGGAGCTACACATAGTGGTGTTAAATGATTGAGGGATGAGGTGCACTTCTTGTAACATTCTCGTTCTTGTTACTTGACATTCCAGGCTATATAGGTGAGTGAGGGTTCATGTTCTCTTTCCAGGTGGCTCTGGACCTGTGGGAAGACTTCAGCCTCTGCAGAGAAGGGCAGAGAGAATGGGTCATCCAGAAGATCCATGAGTCCCAGTTCATCATCGTGGTGTGTTCTAAAGGCATGAAGTACTTTGTGGACAAGAAGAACTATAAGCACAAAGGGGGTGGCCGAGGCTCAGGGAAAGGGGAGCTCTTCCTGGTGGCCGTGTCAGCCATCGCTGAAAAGCTCCGCCAGGCCAAGCAGAGCTCATCAGCAGCGCTCAGCAAGTTCATTGCTGTCTACTTTGATTATTCCTGTGAGGGAGATGTTCCTGGCATCCTGGACCTGAGCACCAAGTACAAACTCATGGACAACCTTCCCCAGCTCTGCTCTCACCTGCATTCCCAAGACCACAGCCTCCCAGAGCCTGGGCAGCACCCTGGACACGTCAGCAGGAGGAACTACTTTCGGAGCAAGTCGGGCCGCTCCCTGTACGTTGCCATTTGCAACATGCACCAGTTTATTGACGAGGAGCCCGACTGGTTTGAAAAGCAGTTTGTTCCCTTCCATCCTCCCCTACTCCGCTACCGGGAGCCAGTCCTGGAGAAGTTTGACTCAGGCTTGGTTTTAAATGATGTCATGTGCAAACCAGGGCCTGAGAGTGATTTCTGCCTCAAGGCTGATGTGGCCATTCCTGGTGTGCCGGCTGATTCACACTTGGAGAGTCAGCAGCTCGGCCTGAATGAAGATGCAGAGGCTGGGGCCAGCCCAGGAGACGGCTCCGTCCTGCAGCCCCTGCTGCACACGGTGAAAGCTGTCAGCCCCTTGGGCATGCCGCGGGACTCAGGCATCTACGACTCATCCGTGCCCTCCTCCGAATTATCTCTGCCCCTGATGGAAGGGCTCTTGGCGGACCAAACAGAAACATCCTCACTGACAGAGAGCGTGTCGTCCTCCTCAGGCCTGGGTAAGGCTCTGGGTTACACAGAGTGCTGGTGGGTCAGTTCCGATGCAAGCCACAGCCTTCATTCATGAAAGCATTTTTCTAATATGGGTGCAAACTCATTTGGCAGTGAAACCTGATGAGAAGTAACACAATTCCATTGATAGTGTCAGTTTATCCCAGGTAATGGGAATGTTCACATGTGTGAGCTGATGCTAAATTATAGTGAGCTGCCCAGTCCCATGTTATGTTATATATAGCATATGCATTATTTTGCCTTCCTAGACTTCACAAACATCTGAATACCAAAACATTTTGGGTCTCAAGGATATTGGACAAGGGTCTATGGACCTGTATCTTTGTTGGGACTTGCAGTGTTCACTACCCCCAATCCTTCGTATGTCTTTAAAGCCACGTCTGTTGAGCCTGGGGTTCACGGATGTGGTATTCTCTCCATTGTAGCTCAGCACAGGCTTCAGGTAGGGCTCTGTAGGAGCCTCTACGGGACGCCGGGTCAGGCTGCTCCCTACTGTGCTTGCGACTAGTTGGAGTCATGCATGCAAACCCTTGACTTTCAACTAAGGGAACTAGAACCTGTCAGCAGCATGAGATTGCCCCATCTTAAGCTGGTTGGGATGCCTGTATCACTTGTGCAAAGCCTGTCGTCCAGACTCAGATCCTACCGCATTCTGGCCTGAGCGCCTGGTGCAGTGAGGTGCAATGACGTGTGGCTCTGCCCTCTCTTCTTTCCTTAGGTGAGGAGGACCCTCCTGGCCTTCCGTCCAAGCTCCTCACCTCTGGGGCGTGTAAAGCAGAGCCCGGCTGCTGCAGCTACACTGGTGAACTCCACGCGGTCGCCCCTTTGTAACAAAATGGAAGAGTCTAAGCATTGCCACTTTAGCTGCCGCCTCTCTCTCTTCCCCAGCTCATCTCTCCGGTTGTGTGGCCCACTTGGAGCTGAGATCTCCTACAAGGATGTTCCGCGTGATACTTGTGCCAATACTTGCTCTCCTTGCCTTGCCCCTGCCCTCCACCAGATATCTTGGCAAAATCTCCAATTTTGTAAAACCATATGGAACTCTGAAAGGCATGTCCATAAGGTTTGACAAAAGTTTGCCGTGTTAGGTCAGACCTTGGATTAGAGCCAATCCTGGGAGGTAGAGAGGGAACATGTAAAGAGAAATAGGAAAATACTTGCACTGATCATTCAGACTTAATTTATCTCCGCAAACTTTGCCTGTTCACTGTTGGCTACTTTGATTTGAAATGCTTTGTAGAAAAAGCACTTTGAATGCTATTACAACCACAGAAACCAAGTGCCAGTCTATCTGGAATCCATGTTGTTACAGACGATGTTCCTGTTGGTTTTCGGTTTAGAACTTATGATGCCATGGGTATTAAAAAAGCTCTAAATCGAAGGCCAAAAATGGGATTGAATATACAATCATCACTCATAAAACGAGTCTTTATGTGTCAGTGGGTGGCATGGCTGGCTGAAGTGGTTGCCTCAGGACCAGGCTTACTTTCTAGACCATTCTTTCTCAGATGGGTTGGTCAATGTGCAAAGGCACCAGAGCTCAGCACCCAGGGCCACCTCTTGGTCTGAGTAGGTGTCATGGGAGGGCCAGATCTGCCTGCCAGGCTTCTCTGTGGTACATTTACTGCGCTGTATCTCAGATGTTGGAAGTTTGTTTTTAAGAGACTGATATGCCCCTGGACTGTAGTACTGGAATTTGCAGTTCATGTGTTGGTTGGCCTCTGGTCTAAAGCTATGTTCAGAAAATCAGGGATCAGAATCCATTGAAATATGGCAGTGTGTGGAGGTGGTGGCCAGTTAATCTGCTGAACTGGTTTTGACTAATGACAAAACTTTTTTTAAGAAGGCGAAAAGGAGGGGACTGTCACAAAGATGAATATGTTCTTCGAATATTGTCCAAAGGTATGGGGCCTGAAATCATTAAATTTTTGAATTTTAAAGTACTCCCCCCAAGCCCAGCCTGTGAATCATGTTTCATTTTGAGTTTCTCTTATACTTCTTCAATGAAAGATTTGTCTCTTGTGCTCGCTCCTACCAAAACCAGGTATTTAGAGCTTAGGAGGAAAGAATTTACTTTAAAAAAAAGAAAAGTAAATGTTCTGTTTTTATCAGTGACTTCTCTGCAGAATTCTGTTTCCAAGGGGAAAACACTTGTTCCCTTCTCCTTCCCATACCCGTGATGGGATGTGGGCATCTTTTCCCAACTTTTTCACAGGTACTGTGAATTCGCCATCCTGTTTCCTCAGCCTTCACACTAGGGACCATGGTCTTGACTTCAGCAAACAGGACCAATATGAAGGAAGATGCTGAGAAACATCCCGAGTGGGAGGTGGGATGGAGCCTTCTCCTTCCAAGCACATGCTCGGCAGGTGGGAAGGGAAGGTTTACACCCTTCCTGGAAAGAAGAGGTTTGTGTGTGTTTTTGATGCAAATGCCACAGTCCCTGCTCTGTAAAGGCAGCTGGCAGATTCTTGGGAGAAGAACGTGCTCGTCTGTTCTCTGGCATCGAGTTTCCTGCAGCTGCTCTGAGGGAAAGATAAGTGAGCAGCAGAGCTGCCTCCCCCATAAAACCAGGCATCTTGTTGGAGAAGAAACATTCCATGTTGCCACTGTGGAACACAGGACAGACACAGAGCTCCTGCCCACATATGACTTTTTTACTGGTCCGTCCTTGACATGCATTCTGTGAAGGAGATCGATCAGTCCAAACTTGCCACAATACGAAAGTTCACTTTGGAACATTATCAGAGAGATTTCTTACTGAGGTCAAGGAATTGTGTGTGCCCCAAAGGAACCATCAGGAGCCACTTTTAGGACATTCAGGTTTACATGTGAAATGAGGCGTCTCTGAGAAAGTGGCCCCAGGAGCAGCATGGAGGACTGAGGCAGGGAGAGCATCAGCTGGGCTTTACGAGTGTGGGCAGAGAACTTGCCAAATGAACCCATTAATTATGAAAATGGAAAGGGAAAAACGCACTAGTCCAAAAATCAGGTAATTTATTAGTTTGGATTTAGGGTTTGGTCACTTATTTTGAAATACTCATGGTTGCGATAGTCAACAACATCAAACTGTTGTACCAAGTAATTAAACCACGGTGCAAATGCCTAACTCAGAAAAAGTTGAGAGGTCTCCAACTTCTCAGTTTTTCTTTACTAGTTTCGCTTTATTTTTTCCCGCCCCTTCCATCTCTTGCTGGGAATGGGAATTGTTGCCTTGTAGATGAAGGCAAAACATCTGTTTTAAGCAGAGCTTCATTTTTTGGGACTCACATATTGTTCCAAACAGTGGAAATGATAAGATGGAATTCAGATAAAGGTTCTGTAAGTCACAGACTTTTAGACATTGAGGAAACAAGAACTAGAATTTAGTGATGATCTCCAGAAAGTTTTTGATCCTGAGAGTCAAAGGCTTATGTAGCTAAGTTAGATGGTGTCCCCTGAACAGGACAGGGATAAGTCCAAGATTCCAGGTAAGCAAGAAGCCTTCAGATAGTTACAGGTAGGGAGCTAGTTGTTTATCTTTACTCACCAATGCTCTACAGAAAGGACTTAGCATCTGAAACAGCTATGCCAGGAGAATGACCAGGGAGGTGAAAGCCCAGGTAAAGGTGTGCTTTTCTCTCAGAGATCAACCTGGACAGGCCCAACTCAGCCACACATCAGGCAGAAGGTACTAAGGGCCGAGTCTTGGGCCTTTAAGGCATACTGATGTGTAGAAAGAATCAGAAATCATTCAGGTCCAGGCCCAGGTACTCAGGTGGGTGACCCAGCCAGGTAATAGTATTTTGAGCCCGAAATGAGATGGGGCCATAAAGTCATGAGACAGAGTTTTGGATTGACACTGGCAAAAACGGAAGATAGCCTCAGATCAGAAATTCAAAAAATGTCTTAGCAACAGTGACATCATTGGAATCAATGTGTAGTAATTTAAGTTTATGTATATTTGTCAAAGTTTAATCTTACTACTTTATAGCCACAGATGTCTTTTTTAACTAATCCCTAGTCTCAGGTTTCCTTACTTAAGTACAAATAAACAGAAAAAACATCCCTCCGAGAACATGGGTTTACGTGATTTTCAGAGCTTCCCCCTCTCCCCTCAGGATCAAGCATCTTTTCTTTGAAAAGAAATAAGGGAAGAAAATAAAAGCCACTTTCTTCCTGGAGAAGAAACGACACACCCTCTTCTCCAAAGAGAGAAAACCCTGTTGTCTCCAGCCACCTGAACACTTTCTTTTGGCTCTCTTAAAGAAATAGGAATTGTTCTTCGTGCGTCTGTTGGAGAGAGGTGGACAATGCCAATGTGAAGGTTGTTAGCCTTTTCTGTTCCGTGTCGTTGGTGAAAACTATTCCTCTCAACTTAACAGATGGTATACTTTCAGGGGGCACCAGTGTAGCAGGCCAGGTGTAACAAAAAATAGGTGTAACTAACTATAAATGGCAATGACATGCCCCCTCAGTGTCAGGGAAACAGTAGGGCATGGTGGGATTGTAGCAAACCGAAATGCTCCTGTCCTAGCTACAGGGGGCAGCTACTCCAGCCACTTGTGGCCACACAGTGTTTCCTGATCTTCCCATCTTTCAAGAGAAGCTGAGAATCTGGATTTTTATATGAAAAACTGGTTAGTTTTGGCAACTAAATTAAAAAAATTTTTTAAATGCATGCAGACCAAATAGAACACATGAGTAGACCTGATTCAGCCTACTAACTGCCAGTGTGCCACCTCTGCTTTGTAAGATTTAAAATGAAAGGTATCCATGGTAATTACAGATGTCTGGTGCCACCAGAAAATGTTTTCGCTAAATGTTTCTTTTTCCCATTGTTCCCCCAAAGAAATTTGATATGGTTGTAAATGTATTTGAAATGTTGTGATTGTTTCTTTACGTCTCATGGTATCTTAAGAGAAAGGCAAGCCAGTTACTAATTTTAAAATCAGATTTATTTTCTCCAAATTTAAAAAATATGACACTCGGAACAATTTCACTTAAACTCCACAACCTGAAAGACCTTATTTATAGTTTTAGCTCTTGGCTTAATCACTTTTTTAGATCATGTGCAATTCTGGGCTTAGGACAAGACTTAATAAGGAAAAAGCAGGCATTGTGGGGATAGGGCAAGGAATCCTTGAGTATACAGTGTAGCCAGGTATTTGCATTGTCTTCTCTGTTTTAAATGATCTGTGAATTTACTCTGTTTTGGAGGCGTGAAATCATATACAGGAGAAAAGCTTTCCCTGATATTGAGATATAAGTTAGGAGTCCTGATGGATTGTTGGGTCATCCCTGCTATATCACCTCTTTTCCAGATTCAGGGTGAAAATAAACAAAAGGAAGTCTGACTGTAAGCCAATAGCTTTGATTCCGACTTCAGAGTTTGGGGGCTGGGAGAAAGTGTGGGTTATCTAACATGTTCCCCCTGGTGTCAGGACTGCACCTGAATTATTTCAGACATATGGCTGTGGATGGGATTCTGGATTTTCAGCGAAGAAGATTCTGTATCCTAGCCTGCTGATCAGATAGTTCTTTGTACCTCTTCCTTACAGAAATTCAAACCAGCCTTCTTTTGTTCAGCGTGTAGTGGAAAAAGAACAGCTGGTCACCTTCCTGTATTTGAAAACCACCGTGAAGTCATTCCCCTGGTGTTTTTATTTCAGTGATAAATAATCCCACCTACTTAAATCATTCTTCATAGCTCTTGTTTTCCAAGGGCTTTATAATTTTCACTGCTCTTCTGTTTCCCAGCTTCACACTCAGTTTAGTTGCCCAAATAGAATGTGCCTTATTCACATTGGTGCTTTTTTGAAGGCCAAGCTCAGGATGGGGATTACAGGGAGATTCTTATGTGCCCTGCTTCTCTTACTACTTAAAAACATAATGGCACTTTTAAAAAATGATGTTTTACCTGTATTCATTCTGAGGATTATTCGATTGTCATGTTTTTTCCCCCTTGACAATAGTCCTTTATCATATGTGGTTTTATTTTTATTTTTTTCCTTCTTGTGGTTAAACACTCGGTGCTTATGTGTTTAATGTCATTCCTGAGCTGCTTCAAGATATTCTTCAAGACCAGCTCTTCTGAGTGGCAGCTGTCCCTCCCTCTCAATTTTAGATTCTGTTTTTTATGTATCCTTAGACCTCACCTTTAATTCATGACTCACAATATTATTGCGTGGTGCAGACTTCAGTCTAACCACTGGTGAGAGACATCAATTCCTAAGGGCTAATTTGCAAAGTGGTCAAGTGAGAACCTCTTGGAAATTTTGGTCGGTTGTCCTCCCTCCTGCTCTTTGGTTCCTGTCCAGAATTCAGCTGGGACCACAGACTCTTCAAGGAGCTTTTTCATTTTCTAAAGGGCTGCAGCCATGACTCTGAATTGAATAAGCAGAAGTCTAACAGAAGCAAACCATCATGACTGTTTATCTGTTTATGTCAAATAAAATTTCGGTTGAGAAAATTCAAAGAAGCAATCTTTTGTTTGTATGTGTTGTAGACAAAGCTGGCTGCTCCAGTGTATAGACAAGAAAAAATTACCATTGGATTATACTAATGTGTAATCAATCGTTTGTTATTTTTTTAAGGTTTTTTTTTTTTTTTTTTTTTTTTTTTTGACAAAAAAACATCGTCTGGACAGAGCAAAAACTTTGTAAAAACCAAATGTGTTCGTTTAGAGAGTAGGTAACTTCTCTTTTCACTGTTAGTTTTCTTTGCCCCACTGTGGAAGCTCCTTGTTACTGTGTCCTGGAGGGAGCCTGTGGGATACTGTGGTTATTGCCACCGCCTTTGTTTGGTCTTTAAGCTTGTCCTGTGTGGGGCGGGGTGGAATAGTGAGCACTGACAGACTGTAGCAGTGTGCTGTATTTTTACATTGAAAGCAATGTCTTTTTTGATTTGTACATACTCTAAATAGGTGACAGTAGATCACAGCTGACGTTTGCAAAATGTTTTTGTACCTTAGAATTTCTGCATCAAATAAAATGTTTTGTTTTAAGAGTGTGGTAGTTCATTATTCTAGATCATCTTTCCTGTTTCCTAAATAGCTTGGGTTCCTAGCACAGTTTTCTGAGGGCTCGCCCTTTGAGAAGGTGAGAGATTATCCAAGGTGAGGAGGTGAGCATTGCCAGTGCGTTTTTCACTTCTTAGAGAAAAAGAACCTGCTGGCCTTGACCATTTACCTCGCCTTGCAGTGAGCAGGTGCCTCTTCCTACATGGTGTCTGGAGCAGGAACAAAGATTCTTATGTCAAGAGGAAATTTGACTCAGAACAAATGGACTTTCTTTGCAGAAATTTGAAAAGAGCCATTAAAATTTGAAAGTCACTAACACCTTTCCTGCCATTCAAACAGAAAAGAGATGCCTGTTCCTTCTTCCGACCACATTCTCTCACCTCTTATGTGCTCTTGCTCTGAATTAACTTCTTCGTGCCCATCAAATTCAGTGTCAGTTTCCAGCTCTGTTGCTACCGTTGTGACCCTGTGCCTGCATCTCTCTGGGCCTCAGGTCTCATCCATAGAATGCAACAGTCAAAAGCCCTCCTTCTCAGGGTGGTAAATTAAACCGGGCAACAGAGGAATGTGAAGTACTTACTGCCACATAGTATAGTTGGCCCTTGAACAACACAGGTTTGAACTGCGTGGGTCCACTTATCCGTGGATTTTTCTGAATAAATACAATCACCCCTCTCCCCCATATCCCCGGGTTTTGCATCTGCGGATTCAGCCAACTACAGATGTAGAGGGCTGACTTAAATTTTACGTGGATTTTCTACAGTGCAGTGGTTGGTACCCATAATCCCCATATTGTTCAAGGATCAACTGTACTCAGAAAATGATGGGCATCCAGGAGAGGACAGTGAGTGGTCAGCAGTAGAAAAGGCACAGCTTTCTGGCCATTACCTGAAAAGGATGTGGTGGAGGTTTAGGTCTTGGGAGCATACGATTTTAAGAATCGTGTTTTCCTTGTTCATTTGTTCCTTCTCCCCTCCCCCCACCACACCCCATTCCCCAGAAGGAGTGGTAAAACAACTCTGAATGAAGCACGGTTGGTTGCTGAGAGGGGGAAACCGTCAAGTTCTTGCCTCCTAACCTTGGCATAGCTTTCATTTTTCCTGTTCGCTCACCCAGGATACTGCTTGTTTTGCTCATTGATTTCTTCCATCCCACACTCTCTGCCATTTCTCTTTATTTCTGAGAGCCAACGTATGAGTGCCAAGTGCTTTACACACCATCATCTCAATTATCTTCACAACTATTCTTCAAGGTGGGTCATCTTACTATCTCCATTTTATAAATGAGGAAACAGACTCAGAGAGGCTGCCTCTGACTCCTGATCTCACAGCGGTTTGAGGCAGAGCCGGGATGTGAGCTATGTGGCAAACACTACCTAGGCTACTCACATGTCCCCTTGGTAAAAGTCTAGCCAGCCAGGTAAGGGTGAACTCAAAAGTGTCTTTGTGTGGTCAGAGGCAGTAGAGATCTTTCCCATAATGGTAGTGGTAGTGTCACATGCAAGGTCCATGGCAGTGACAAAGTGACGACAGACAACCTTCCAATGTTAGCATAGCTAATACCTGCTGAGTGCTCCTTGAGTCTTTTGTCACCACAACCCAATGTGGAAGGTACTATTAGCATCCTCATTTTTGAGATTCTTAAGGCTTAGAAATCAGGTAGCTTTGCTGAGAGCACAAACAAGGAATCGGCAGCTCTGGGATCCAGATGTCCAAGGCATCTTTACTGCTAACCAATAAGCTAACCTGTCCCTTAATATAGTTTATAGGTGGAAGAAAGAACTTTGAGTAGCAAGTTATGGTGATTTGGTTCCTTTCTCAATCCAAATACTGAGTGTAAATCTGGTTCAGAGGTTAAGCAAATGGGTCTAATAGGACTCGACTATAAGAATCTCAGCAGATGCTGCAGGAAGCCAATTCCTCTTTTCTTACATTAAAATAAAAGCCGCAGCTAGTACTTTCTATTAGTGGGGGAAAAAATCCTCTTTAGACAGCAACAAGAAGCCCTACTGTTTACCATGATATTAGAAAGCAGAGTTAGTTTTTACAGCTGCTTTAGGTTCTGTAGTAGCCAGCATCTGTTGGGTCTCACCACTGGTCTCACTTTGTTTTAGAAATGCAAACTTTAGAGATAGCAAAGACCAGCTTCCCCTTGCAGGCTTTAATTAGAAAAAGAAATTAATTTCGCTTTATTTGAATAAGAGACTACAGGCAGTCAGCTAAGCAGGTGGAAGAAGGAGGAGACAAAGTATATCTTCGCTGTCTTGAGCAATAAATGTTTGCCACTCCTACCCTCACTATACCTTGTGCTTACTGTCCACAGGAATAAAATCAGAAGTTGTTTAAGAATAGGATGGGTAGAGAAAGCAATGAAGGGAGGAGATGGACACAAACATGGAGCAAGGCCTTTTGCAATGAGACAAAATTCAAATGGGGTCTTTGGGATTAAGGAAAAGTAATGCAAGTTCAGTGAGCTGGGCTCCCTGGCCTCTTTCTGAAGGGGATATTACACCATCTATGACATCTATAAATGATACCACCTTTTTATAGCAATTATTGGCAACCCTAAAGGGTGTACTGGGGATACTAATGGGTAAGATGCACACATGATTCCTGCCCTCCTGACTCCCTTTTTCTGTGTATGAGACCGTAGGTATAATGCCTAATTTCTCTGAGCCTCAGGTTTTTGTTTTTGTTTTTGTTTTTTTTTTTAATCAAGATAGGAATAATATCCACTGCATAGGATTATTGTGAGGATTAAATACTATGGGGTCTATAAAGCACCCAAAGCTGTGCTTGGCAAGTTAAGTGGCTATTCTTTATTCTTTGGAAGAGAAGGTCTTGGGCTCTTTGAGGGTCCTATAGAGATGGGTGGGAGACAGTTCCTTACTCATAGGAGCTTCAGCCCAGGGCCTTTGTCAGGTGCTAAGTTGAAGCATCTCTATCTCCTAAGAGAGTCTTGAGTCCACGGCTGCTTTGGTGGTAGTCCAGGAAGGAAGGGATGGGCATGAGGAGGGGAGGTTCTCCTAGCAAAATTAAATTTAATACAGTAACTGGGGTAATTAATAGTTGACCATACATAGCCTGTGGTAGTTGACCATGAACTCTTGAGATCTGTTGATGTTTCATTCACCAGGCTCCTCTTTTCCTGGTCACCTTCTAGCCCTGATAGAGACACATTTATCTGGACTTGCTGCTTCAAGGCCCCTGTGCCAGACGGATGACCACGCCCCACTCGGGATGTGAACAAAAGCAGGGTTTGTTTCTGTAACTGACTATCAGTATGGGGTCAGGGGAATTTTCAGATTTTTAGAAGTCAGAGTGGGGCAGAGATCCAAAATGGTCCTTTAGGATGAGATACCTCTGCCTGAACTTTTCTACTCTTGCTGGTCAGAAACATTCCAGAGAATAGGCAAGTGTCTGCTTTCAGACAAGACATAGATGTTTCTCACAGAGAAGTTTCAGCAAAGAAAGGCCAGAACATGCCTGGTGGCAGAGTGCAAAACAGTCAGGTCCTGTCTTTGGTTTGTGTACCTGAAGTTAGATGTACTTAAAGGTCCTGCATACATGTGTATAATTGTGCATTCTTAGTGGTGAGGTTATTTTACTACATTATTTTTAGCATTGTGATTAAAGAGGGGCTTTGGTCTCAGGCATTCTCGACTTAGGTCTCAGTCTGCTCCTTTCTGTGTGCCGGTAGGCAGGTAGCTTTGACCTGGTTAGGACTTAGTTTCTCCATCTGGAAAACAAGTCGTAGTTCAATACCTAACATTGCTGTTTTGAAGATTGCATGTGAAGCCAGGTGCAGTTCTGGGCACAGAGGCTGGCACACAGTGAGCCTTTTGCCTGTGGGGATGTGGTCAACTGGGACAAGTTAAGAGGTATCCAGTTATAAAGTGGGTTCCCCGATATGTCTCCTTCAGCCCTGGCCTGGGTAGCCGATGGGCTAGATAACTGAACTGGAATTCCGGTCTCTAGGAGTTCTCAGTTCCACAGGGTCACTGACAATGGCCTTCACTGGAGATAGTTACTTGATCAGTCAGATGTCACTGCCTGCTTGAAACTGCCAATGACCCTGGAGAGAAACATCGAAGTTCTGACCTGGCCCCTTGCAGACCTCTTTCTATGTCCGTTACCTCTTTGTGGCCACATCAGACTTTGAGATTCCTCACTCATTTGTTCCTGCCTTGGGACCTTTGCATATGCTGTTCTGCCTGAAACAGCCACTCTTTGTCTCCATTTCTCCTTTGCAGTAAAACCGTCCCTTACTGTCAAACCATCCCTGACCACTGTGTGACCCAGTCTAGGACCTGACAGGGGCCTTCAGGAGCACTTAGCTTGTGTGGTTATGTTACATCCCACCCTCAGGGTAGGCCTCAGGTTGGGTGTGAACCCAGACATTTCCTGAACCAAAGCCTTTGCCTGTCTTCTCACTCCACCACTCAGCCTTGCTTCTCAGGTGTTCCTCTAACCCAGGTTATGAGAGCAGAAAGGATTTGCTTTAAAAGAAGCCTTTTATTAACTACTTGAAGAGCTTTGCTTAGGCCTGAACGGTAAGACCAACGCCTTAATCCTTGCACAGGTGTCACCGTCCCTTGGGTGAAGACTGCATCAGGATGGTGTTGCTTCATCAACTGGATGTTCCAAAGCCAAAAATGGGGGGGAGGCAGAGTGGTGAGAGAAAAGAGGGGAGCATCTGTATGTCTGTACAGTGCTACATGCATAAAAGTCGAATGTCCCAGTAATTCTACTTTTAGGGTTTTCTCTTTAGGATATAACCAGAAATATGAGTCAGTTTATTGTGCAAAGATTTTCATCACCAAGCATTATCTCTGATACTGAGAAATGAGGAACGAACCAAGTACCAGTCAGAATTGATTATAAGAAGAGAGTACATTCATACGGTGGACCAACAAGTGGCCCCTGACAATCATGTTGTGGAAGAATATTTCACAACATAGGAAAAGACTTATAGTATGTTAAATG